AGTGAGCACATCCCTTACGGAGAAGAGATCACAGTGAGCACACCCCTTATGGAGAAGAGAGCCTGCTCCACAACTGGGGGATGTTGGCTGGGTTGCACCTGATAAAGAGAAGAAAAGGCTAGGTGGTAGAGCCTGGGGCAAGAACCCAGCAGCCGGCTGCCACCAGAATGGCCCGAGTAGCTGGGGCTTCTGTCCCCCTTGCTCACCACCACAGACAGACAGAAAAGGTTCTTCCTGGGAGCCGCTGCTGACAGCATAGCTTTTCTTTCTCGGGAGGCACCCGTCCACTCCACACAATGATGACCCACGGCACTACGTTCCTGCGGTTTTAATCTTGGTATGCTCCTCTATCACAAAAGTGCCCCCCTAAAGTCTGGCGTGCTGGGCTGCTAACGTCTCAGAAGTGAGACCGCCTTCCACCATCCCAGAGCAGGACCACCATGCCAGCTCCCTGTCTGCATGCAACATCTGCAGCCCTTGTCCTGGTTTAAATGTGGCTTCCTGACATGTGTGCCATGGCCCTTGTGTGTTTGCCTGTTTTGTTTTTTGTTTTAAAGGCATTCTTGCTAGGCATGGTGGCTCTTGCTTTTAATCTCAAGCAGAGACAGGCAGACCTCTGAATTCAAGGCCAACCTGCTTTCGGTCAGACAGGGCTACACAGTGAGACCTACTTGGGAAATAATCAATTAAAGGTTTCTTTGTCAAAATGCTTGCTCCTCCTTCTTTGAAGGGCTTGGCATTGGCAAGGGCTGGCCTGCTCAGGCCTTCACTCTTGAACTTGACCACTGGTCTGTTTGGGGCTCTCTAGACTTACCCATAGCTTGCCTGGGCAGAGGCAGATCAGCATGGAACTGCCAGGATGCTTTCAATACTGGGAGGAATCCATAAAAGCTCCCTCCAAACAGCCTGCTGGCTGTTCCTGAAGAGCTCTGTAGGCATGGCCTGCTCACTTCGGTAAAAGTCGACCCCGCTTCAAGAATGTGATTGGGCCATCTGGACAGCTGTGTGGCCTTTTGGACACCATAGGCTCACAGCCGGAGCAGGGGAGAGGCATGTGGGGTGAAGCACACTGTGCTGTAGGGTGGCTGTAGGAGGAACATTGCATTATTCATCGAGTCACTCCCTTACAGCGGGATGGTTATAATTTTTTCAGCACAATGATTTACCTATATCTGGCTGTAGTTCCTTTAATCTTTAATTTAAATTTTAATTTAATAGTGGTCACATGCAAGAAAAAGGAGGATTAAAACTAAAGATCTGGGCATGGTGACTCACAGTTCCAGCATTCTTGAGGCTGAGAGAGGAGAAGCATCCCAAATCAGAGCCAGCAGGGGGTGGGGCGTGGGGTGGAAGGAAACAGATAAAGGAAGGAGCCAAACTCTGGAGGTGAAGATTAGTAATGGAAGAGATCTATTTACACACATCTTCATTGCTAATGAGGACAACAGAGGGCCAGTAAGACCACTCAGCAGGAAGAATCCTTGTCCCCAAGTCTGGTGACCTTAATTCCATACCAAGACCCTCTTGGTAGAAGGAGAGGACTCCCAAAAATTGTTCTCTGACCTCCACACGAATACCATGGCATGCTCCTGCATACAAACGCATGCATGTTCACACACAGACACATATAATAAAGTTTTAAAAATGAAAAGTGAAAACAAAAAGGATAATTTAAAAAAAAATTTTGTTTTTTGAGACAGGGTTTCTCTGTGTACCAGTCCTAGCTGTCCTGGAATGTGCTTTGTGGGCCAGGCTGTCCTCAAAATCGAGAGTTTGCTTCTGCCTCCCAAGTGCTGGGATTAAAGGCGTATGCCATCTCTGCCTGGCTAAATATAGTATTTTTCAAAACTCATTTTAGGGCCAGCAAAATCAACTCAGTGGATAAAGATGTTTGCTGCAAAATTTAATGACCTGGGACCACATGATGGAAAGTGAGAACCGGTTCCTACAAGTTGTTCTCAGACCTTCACGAGTACTGACTCTCTCTCTCTCTCTCTCTCTCTCTCTCTCTCTCACACACACACACACACACACACACACACACACACGAGCCTATGTGAAAGAAGTCTTGAATTTACACACTGCTGTGTAAAACGAGACCCAGAAGAGTAGGAACACCAGCGACTGTGTTAAGCATCTTCCAAGACTGACTGAACACAGGCACTTGCAGAACACTGGAATGTTGCAAGTCAGGAGCCAGATTATCTTGGGCTGCTTTTAGCAACCCAAATCACCATTTATTGCACCTTCCATTTGCCCTAAGATCCTGTGACTATCGGGTAAAGAACTCTTTTTCAGATGTATAAACAAGACCCTTAGCTTCCACCAGCCACAGGATGTCATCGCTGGCACCCGAAGCCCGCAGTGGAGGCTCCTCACTTTGCCGTAACCCACCTTTGTTTCACCAATGTGAAAACTGCCTTGATTTATAACTTCCTTTGTTCTTGCAAAGAAATCTTCTTTAAACCATTACCACAGTAGCACATGGTGCTGGGGGTAACCTGAATTCCTGTTCCCTGGCCATTGTCACTCAAATCTGCCTCCACAATAAACCTTCTTATTCCCTTTGAGGCAAGAGCAGCGTTCCTGTGTCAGCAGTCAGTGGACAAACCATCTCTTCTGCAAAAGCTATGTGTGAAGCCTCCACTACTCCTCAGATCTCACATGGCACTCCTGGCAGACACAGGTGTCTTTCCTGCAGTCAGGAGCCCGGCTCTTTTATGTTCTCCTGTGTCTTGCCTCACAGAGGAGGTTCGGTCTGTTCCTCACCCTGGGTACACAGCTGCTTCTTGTTCTGAGTCAGTCTGAGTCCTTCGGTCTCTTTCCTGTGGGCCCTGTGCTACAGTTTGCGTTGGGAAGGTCCCAAAGCCCAAGATGCTAAGAGCTCAGTCATCAGCCTTGGCATTTTGGGGAAGTGGTGAAGTCATGGATGTGGCTAAGGGAAGCGAGCATGAGTTAAGAGGGATTTGTGGAAACTGGCTCCGAAGGACGTGAGGCCTGGGACCGAGTCCATCCGTGGGAAAGCAGCTCACCTGCCTCAACACAGGGCTGTGGCTAGTTCACCTCTCCACTCTCCTCATCAGGATAACAGCGCAGCCCCCACCACTGTGGAACACTTTCAGTCGTCTACTTAGCCTTCCGAAGTCTACCGCAAGAAATGCGGACAGTCACACACACTTAGCGGCATCTCATCTCACCTTCACGCCTTAGGAGACTGAAGTACATGACAAACTATGTAAGCAAAACTCCTGAACCATTTTTAAAGCCGGGATAAGTCCACAAAGACATCACATTTAGAGGATCAATTTGCGCAAACCACTAGAGATTAGAATCTAGTATTCAAGGAAATGAGTTTCCAGGCTAGGAAAGCTGGGGGTGGGTCCTCAGAGTGCATCCCGACCAATCTCTAAACTGGAAACACTAAGCACACGGATGAAGTGCTCCCTGACAGTGCCACGTCCAGGTATGGCCAGTGGAAGGTAACTGACAGCGACATCAGCCATATCTTCCCTTGGGCAAGTCAGGAGTGGCCCGGTTGTTCAGGCTCTAGGAGCCACTGGGCAGCTGTGTGGAGGTTGGCACACCCACTGGTCTTTGTGGTTACTCACCTGCATGGGTTTGCCCATCCTCAGTCAAATGTCAGAATCTTCCCATGAACACCAGTGAGTGCGAGCACGTGGTGATGCTCTTCCAGGCTCAACCTGCAGCGCTCCTGAAATGCCAGCCGGGGAGACCTGAGGTGGGGAAAGGATGGACGGTGTGGATACTGTGACTTGGATAGTTTCAAATAAGGCAACATCATAAAACTGTCGAGTCTTTAATGTCTGCTGAAACTGAAAATGGGCCGGGCGGTGGTGGCGCACGCCTTTAGTCCCAGTACTCGGGAGACAGAGGCAGGCAGATCTTTGTGAGTCCAAGGCCAGTCTGGTCTACAAGAGCTAGTTCCAGGACAGGCTCTAAAGCCACAGAGAAACCTTGTCTCAAAAAACCAAAAAAACAAACACAAACAAACAAAAAGAACCTGAAAATGATGTGGGTTGTTGGCACTGAGTGCCAATATGTATTGAATCTAAGGTAGAAAGTATAACCTTAAGATATAAAGGCACAAAAAGGGGCTGAGTGCATGCACACACGCAGGCAGAACACTGTATACATAATAAATAAGTAAGCCCTAAAAAAAAAGGTGGTAAGAGGAGGATCAGGAGTGGGCCAGCTTAGGCTACATGAGGCCCTGTCAAAACTGAGCAAAATCCATGAGAAAGGCTGTGGAAAAAAGACTACTATCTGTAACAGGCTTCCCTCAGTGGGCTAGTCTATGACCATACCAAAAGGAGTTGTAGACAAGACTCTATGAACTTTAGTGCTAGCATGCTGAGCAACTACTACTAGATTTATTTAAATACTTGAACCTACTGTTTGTAGTTTTAGGTACTTATATGAAAGATGTAAAGCTTTAAAGAGAATCTGAAGGTTAGGAAATTCCCATAAAGATCTCTATTCGATAGTTACAATCTGATCAGTGGCTCCATGTCACAGCAGAATGGCTCCAAGTGCATCTTGGGAAGGCAGGTCCATGGCGGGCAGGATGTTGGCATTTACTCACTCTCCAAGACTTCGCAGGCTGGCCAAGGAGCCAAGCGCCTGGGCTGCAACAGGGGATCACAGTGTTCTCAGGAACAGTCTGGCCTGCTCTCTTTCCAGGTTAACCTTACAAGGCTTCACACACGGCCTGTCTCCATCCTGGATGTGGGACAGCTTTACTTACACTTGAGTAAAACTGGATTTTGTTTCACATTAGTAACCACTTATCCTCCCCGCAAAGAGTTCATGACTGTGTTTGTGTTCCTCATCCACATTTTAAAAAGTTGATGGTGGCTGGGCATTGTGGCACTCGCCTTTAATCCCAGCATTCAGGACAGAGCGAGTTCCAGGACAGTCTGGACTACACAGTGAGACCCCGTCTCAAAACCAAACAGAACACACCAACAACAAAGTGAATGGTTTTAGGTAAAGCTTCAAGTTAGCTTCCATTTTTATTAGATGTTTTTCTAAGGAATATATTACACTTAAAATTCACCAGCATAAATAAAGACTAATTTTAAAATCTATTTTACTTATTAAAAATGTAAACAAAAGGATTCCCTTCCCAGTGTCAACCTAATTTTAAAAAAGGAAAAAAAAAAAAAAATTCACCACCACCATCACCACCAAAAGTCTTTTCTCCAGCTCAGTCCTTCCTTCAGAATGAGCACCCAGACAGCAGAGCCTGGGGCAACGGTCACGGCCCAGAGAACGAGTGCCCAGTGAAGCTGGCTGTGAGGTGTGAGCAATGTCCATGACCTCCTGCAGGGACCACTCAGTGTCTGCAGAGACGGGCTCTTCTCTGATCATCTGGCTTCTACGTCCACAGCTGGGCAAGGCATGGAGCACAGACAGCGTCTTGGCTGGAGACTCCAGGAGGCTGAGGAGGGCCAGCAGTGACCAGTTCTTGTCAAGAGTCAGTCCTGGCTTTACCCAACCACCCTACTGCTTATACATGGCCACAATCGGGAAATCTTCTTTTCTCTGGGGGCGGTTGGAATGAGACAGTGTCTCTCTCTGTAGCCCAGGCTGGTCTTAAAATCATAATCCTCCTGCCTCTATCTCTCCCGTACTGGTATTACAGGCATGAACACCATGCCCGGTTCAATCTGTAAGTCTAATATTGAAGAAACATTAATAACATTTCCCGGAATACTCTGATAAGCTTACTTATGTGTCTTCTTAAAACTATTTACAACCCATACGACTATGTGATATCTTCAAATCTCAATAAACTCTAGGTCAACCTAGGCTGAAAACTAATGCTAACATAATTTATAATATTTATAGAATGCCCATTTGGTCTTAGAAATATAAGGATCCTGTTGGGAAAACGTAGGATTACTGGAAGGATGTTCTGCAGACTAATCAGAGGAGGCGACACAGTCTATCAAACGCTGCCTAGCTCCTTCTCGCCTTGCTCAAGGACCCTCACATGGCTTTGCTTCCTTCCTGCAAACTCTGAGAAAACCTGAGACAACTCACGTGGTATGCGTGACACCTAGGACCTTGAAACACCACGAGCTGCTTGAACTGAACACCGAGGTAGCCTGTTTTATAAACACTTGACCTTTCTGATTCAGGGAAGGGAAAACAGTCTACGGTCCCCCCCCCCCCTCCTTCCTGCCCCACCTCATTTCCAGCATGGAGCGCCCTGCTGGGTCTCCTCCTTAGCCACTGGTTTGGTCCTTTTGATGTGAAAGGCTGATCTGCCACAGAACGCTAGCACAGGCTGTATTGAGTTCTTCAGGTCAGATGACTTCTACAGCTAAATCTCCATCAGAATCTGACTATAGAGGGCTCTTCTTAGCTGCTATACTCAAAGTGACGATGAGCCTCTTAAATTGTCTTACGGGCTGTGACCGGGCTGTGACCATCTAAGTCTTGCTAAGTATACAATGTGGGATCACGGATGAGTGACTTCGCTCTAGTCTCACCAGAGAGGAGCGACTTCGCTCTAGCCTTACCGGAGAGGAGCGGACCAAGCAACTAGGCTAGGAACCCTCGGGAGTCCAGTGCTTCCTGACATGGACTGCATAAGTTTCACGTTTGTGCAGAGAAAACACTGAGACATCACATTCCAAGCTGAATAAATATATATACAAAAAACATCTTCTGTAACATTTTCTCCAGGAAGTCATTAGTGCAAATATAATTATATTAATTAAAAAATAAAGCAAAAATATATTTCAAGTATAAAAAGCACCATGCTTGGAAACACTACCACCTAAATGGCACCACTGCACAACAGTCAAAATGTGGTCAAACCTACCACTGCCTCTCAATACATTCCACTGACATTTTTGGTGAAATTTTTTATACATTTTGTAAGATGGTTCATAATCATCATAGGTATGAAAGTTTAATGTATATTTCTTTCCCCCCACCTCTAGACAGGTTCATCTCACTATGCAGCCCCAGCTGGTCTGGAACTTACTTTGACCAGGCTGGCCTTATACTCAGAGATCCACCAGCCTCTGCCTCCCAAGTTCTGGGATTAAAAGCGTGCGCCATCATGCCCAGCATACTGCATATTTCTTTCAACACATCCTCGCTTTTCTGACGTATGACTTAAAGAACACCGAACACTGGTGAAACAGGGTGATAGTCTACAGACCGCGAATTCTCTATGACTGAATTTGGGGACCCCCCCCCCGCTTTTCACAACGATGAATTCCTCTAACTTGTACTGTAGGCAGCACACATTTTAACTTCCTGCCTCTAAAAACAAAGGGGAGTTTCCCTTCATTCCGAGGCCTGCCGTCCTGCCGTCCTGCCACAGTATCGCGGTTACTGGAGTTACCACTTAGTGCCCGGGATTCACTCGCTTACACAATTTCTTTCTTCTCTTGATTCTCAAGACAGTGTTTCATGCAGCCAATACTCGCTATAAATTCAAATTCCGTATGTAGCTGGGTGACCTTGAACTCAAGACCTCCCTTCCTCTGCTTTCTAAGCAGGCTCCCATGCTTCCTTACATAGAACATTCCCTAACTATAGGCTGGATGGAATGGGGGGGGGAGGTTGGAGGTGTCTAAATGTCATGTTTCGTTCTAAACACTGTTTAACATTTACTTGTGTGTACTTGCTGTGCATGTGTGTGGGTCAGAGGAACTCAGCAGTCAGTCCCTTTCATCTTCCACGTGGTCTCCAGGATTCAGACTCAGGACAGTAGGCTTGGTGGCAAGTGTCTTTAGCTCCTGGGCTATCTTGCTGCTCCTGAAGGCTACAGAACTCATCACCTTTAGGGAGAAAGACAGGACCTCAGTCTTCATTGAGGAATGTCAAGGTTGAGTCACTGGAGGGTTGGTAAGCCCTGGAACCAGAGCAGAGCAGGAGTGTGGATCGTGGGAAGAGACAGACAGTTAAAGCAAACGTTATCTTCCACCTCTGAAGGGCACTGGGCCCCGTGGGCAGCTGGATGTCCAACCTACTCTTGGCTCTTTGGAAACAATCCAGATCACCTTATTTTGACTTGAGCTTTCCTTCTTGTCCATGAAATAACTTCCAGAGATTAGCTCTTCGTCTGTAACAGCTCAGTCTACTTGGATGTAACTGCATGCCTGTCCACGTCTAAACTCTTAATGTCCATAGGCTGAAAGGACCACTTGGGTTTTGGTAGATTTTTACAGTTCTTTTAACTATTACCCGGGCACGCACAATCATGCTGTCTTCTGTTTCTCGATTTCAGCGATCTTCCTATACACTGTACAGCACACTCTCCCATGGGTTTTCAAGTTGCTATGAAATTAATGAGAAAAGCAAGTGGACGTTGAGCTCAGACGAAGACGGCTTAGAGCCGACAGCACACTAGCAACAGCCTGGTGGCAAACGGGCCACACAGCTGGCAGGAAAGGCAAACACAGTTACGTCAGAAGCAAAACGGAAGTGACAAAGAGCATGATGATTTGATTGTCTCGTGTCCAGGTGCTCATTTAAAGCTTGTGCAATGGCGACGGGAATTCTGAAACCCCAACGACCACTTTTGTCCTTTGGAGGGTGGGACAGTCAACTTAGAACTCTGGAGTGGTCGGTCAGCTGCTCTGTGAGTGACCTCAGTGCTCAGGAACTTTTCAGTTAACACAAATGCTGAGGTATGTGGTCACGACAAATCCCACCGTCCGTCCTGCACTGAAAGGAGAACTCGCTGCCAGAAGACTGCACATCCATATGCACATCCACACACTAAGGAGCCTCGGGCACCTACGATTCCTCTCTAAGCTCCGAGGTGGCTGTGTGGCTGGAGAGTGACTGCAGTGGAGCTATGCGTCACAGTCCTGCTGCGGCTGGCACATCCAAGCCAGAGTCAGGGATGCCACCTCTGCCATCTCATCGCCTGCCAGGGCTGGCCCTTGCCCAGGTTTTGTGCTTTGTCCGTGGGAACATGCCAAAACTGTCATCTTGAGAATCCACTTTTCCGTTCCTAGTGCCACACACACAGAAGAAATCCAGCCAGCAGGGGAAATAGATTGCCTAGGAGGAGCCAAAGTGTGACCACCAGGCTAGAAGAACAGGAGCAAAGGTCTAGGGTAGAAAAAAAAAAAAGAAAACAGACATATGTTTGTGGTTTAATCACTCCAGTTAAATACTGAGAGGTGTGCAGAGGATTATGAGGTGAGCAAGGACCACCTTCAGAGGCTGAGCTACAGCTCCATGGTAGAGCACCTGCCCTGCATGCCTGAGACCATGTGTTCAATCCCCAGTCCTCTATAAACAGGGCGTGGTGTGCACTTCTGTAATCCAAGCACTCTGGAGGCAGACAGAGGTGAGGGGATATTATGAGTTTAAGGCTAACCTGGTCTACACAGAAAGTTCTAGGCCATCCTTGGTGACACAGTGAGACCCTGTCTAAAAATAAATAAGTAAATGAGTTTTAGTATTCTAAAATATATTGTTTCTCCGGGCGATGGTAGCACGTGCCTTTAATCCCAGCACTCGGGAGGCAGAGGTAGGCGGATCTCTGTGAGTTCGAGACCAGCCTGGTCTACAGAGCTAGTGCCAGGACAGGCTCCAAAACCACAGAGAAACCCTGTCTTGAAAAACAAACAAAAAAACAAAAAATATATTGTTTCTGTAAGGTTATATGAACAAACCGCATGAGAACAATAAAAAAGTAGAAGAATTAGTGGAGATAAAATTCATTCTATATTTATTTCAGAATATTAGCAGGTTTGTTTGTTTGTTCATCTGGGTCTCATGCAACCCAGGTAAATCTCAAACTCTCCACATAGTTGAAGATAACTTGAACTCTTGATCCTCCTGCCTCTGTCTCTCAAGTGCTGGGATCTAGGCATGTGCCACCACGCCCTGTTAAATATGAGCTTTATTGTTAGCGGTTTAGTACTAAAATGGTCTAATTCACAAGTCAGCAGCAGCAGGGATGAGACTCTGCTGTGGGCTAACTAGATGTCTCAGCCGAGCACACTAAAAATATCACATGTTAACATTTAGCAGGTACTGACTGTTTTAGAGAAACAACTCAGTCTGGGGATGCAGCTCAGGGGGCAGAGTGCCTGTCAAGCTGGTGTGGGGTCCTAGATCTATCACCAGCAGGAATAAAGCAAGTGTGGCAATGGTGACACAGGTCCACAGTCCCAGCACTGGGAAGGTGGAGACAGGAGGAAGTTAAAGGCACCCTCACCCTCAGAGGGAGTTGCTGTTTGGGACCAGCGTGAGCTAAATGAGAGGAACAAACACACACACACACACCACAGACATACATGCATGCGTACACAAAAAGATATAGATAGACACACAGATACATACACACAGATAGACACAAACAGACACATATACATTGCACACATACAGAGACACATAGAGACAGACACACAGAGACATACACACAGTCACATACATAAACATTCACACACACACATATATATACAAAGAGATACACAGAAACAGACACACACAGACATATACAGAAAGATACATGCAGAGACACATACACATACAGATACACAGGTGCACACAGACACACAAACATATACACAGGTCTTACATACTAGAGCAAGTGTATGTGATAGTTCCTAGCTCTCTGAACAGGTGGTTAGCTAAGACTATGCTCCAGTCACAGTCCTTGGCATGACTGTGCCCACGTCACCCCCTCACTAACTCAGGGTTTCCACTGCTCCCTACGAAGAGGGAGCAGGAGAGAGTGTAAGGTCCATGTGACTGAAGTGCACGGTGCCAAGAGTGTTTGTGATCACTGCTGCTGACCTCTGTCATATCCCGGAGCAGAAACATCATCATTTCAGCCTTGACTGGACTTGGCTTTCAAGCTTCTAATAACAGCAGGTAGCAGTTTTCCTAGAGGTCCTCAACTAGACAGAGAGGACCTAGGCCTGCTCCAGAACCCACGTCAGTATCTTCAGTTATGATATAACTAAAGTATAATTAGTTTCTTTCTGTATTTGATGAGCAGAGTTTTGTTCACTCTTAGTTTCCAGAAATAGTAAGTGTAACATCCAGTGCCAAGGCCTGGAGAGAGGGTTACCAGGTTCTCCACAGAGCCTTGTCTGTCCTTGCTGTACCACAGAAGCGGTTACCAATTCAAGCTTCTAGTAACATCGGGCGGCAGATAGAGGGAAAGGAGCTTGTCCTTCTCCAGGGCCCCTCAGTATCCCTCTTTCCACCAACTGTGAAGGGCACTCACCCAGAGGAAGGGCTCGGGTCAGGTTGGCAGCAGGAGGGTCAGTTTCCGGGGGACACTGCTCACAAAAGTCCCAGCAGGAGGGGCACAGTAGGTTTCCATTGTGAATCCAGCCTTTCATCTGAATGCGGACAGGGAGGACCTGCCCAGCCCGGCTACACAGATATGAAGTGTCTTGAACCCAAACCTTCAGACCTTGAGGAGAACAAGAAACCTTCAAATGGGGAGAAAAATGAAGTCAGTAAGAGTCCGGGATGAACGCGCACCACACGGTTCCTCACTTAGTGTCACAGCCATGTAACCCTACAACATGTCTGTCCAGAGCAGCACTGGGAGGACAGAGAGCTCTCACCCCCGGCAGTACTTGTGCCTTCCCAGAGGTATGCACACTGGATTCTAGCAGCTTAGTAATTGTTCTTTATGCCTGTGTTGTGTGTCTGGTAGAGAAACCAGACATGGAACTGCAGTTTTGGAAGCAGGGCTGAGCTTTACTCCACCTAGAGGTAATCCTCCTTCAGGGCAGGAGGATGAGGATGGCAAGGTCATTGCTAGACCAGTTTACATAGCAAGTTCCAGGACAGTCAGGGTTACTTAGAGACTTTGTGTGTGTGTGTGTTTTAAAAAAAGGTCCAGTAAACTGGGGACCTACATACGTGCACTGTAGTAAGTTCAGGTGCATGCACACACACACACACGTGCATACACACGCACACACACACACACACGTGCATACACACACACACACACACACACACGCACGCACGCACGCATGCACACACCACCACCACCACCATCATCATCCTCCTCAGCTAGAGTACATTTGAGGCCAGCCTGGCATTTTCTAGATTACTGAATGATGTGGGAGGGACAAGCCCACCATGGGTGGCGCCATTGTGGGCAGATGGGGTGGAGTTGAGCCAGGTGTGAGGAGCAAGCTAGTAATCAGTTCCTCACGGCTTCTGCTTTTGTTCCTGCCTTGAATTCCTGCCCTGTCTCTCTCCGTGATAGAGAAGAACCTGTAGCTGATCCAAACCCTGCCCTCCCAAGCTGTTTTTCGTCAAGGTGTTTTATCACAGCAACAGAAACCGTAACTAAGACCCTGGCATCTGTGAGTGGGGACAGGAAAATTCTTTAGTTGGGTGCCTCCCCCGTTCACAGAACCCCTACATCTAGATCAGTTCTCAGTAAAATGACATCGCCATCCAGCATGTACCTGCTGTGGTCCTCCCTTTGTCTCCATGCTGGAGGTCAAACCCGTCTGTGTGCATGCAAGGCAGACTCTCCCACCAGGCAGACCCCAGCTCCTCTATAGACTTTCTGACATAAAACTGAACATTGTTGCCTTACCAAACAGAACCTGCTCAAGAACAAAGTTACGTATTTGCCACTATCTCCTTAGGGTTTATATTCAGAAGTAAAATCACAGAACCTTTGAGTACATAACAACTTACTTTTACTTATTTATCTTAAAGCAGGGTCTCACTATCTAGCCCTGGCTGTTCTGGACAGCTGGCCTTGAACTCAGAGAGATCAGCCTGCCTCTGCCTCCCAAGTGCTGGGATTAAAGATGTGCACCACCATGCCTGCTTAGCCAAGTTACATATATTCTAAACAGACAGTTACAAGCAACTTCTCTCAAAGAAATGACAGCATTTTCACAAGCCCCAGCACTCACACTAATAATTACAAAACACAAGTGAGTGACAGTAGTAATCAGTAAATCATCTATAGAAGCGATATCAATCATAATCTAAGATATAAAATTATATATTGGAGTAGTGGCCAAACTCGCAGTTTACCTGGTAGCATCCACTACCCCAGTCTGGGTAACTGAGCTTCCTCTCGCACTGTTCCATGACAAACGCTGATTTCTGAAGCAGACAGACCGAATGAGGGCCGTACTTTTCTGCACCGTAGTTTTTAAACATTTCTGAAACAAATCCAAAGAGTCTTCTCAGACACTGACCATTAGTGTGAAGAATAAGAAACGAGACATTCTGTCTTCATGATTAAAAGTCAATGAAAAGACAGGAAGACAGCCAACTTGGGGCCAGCCTGGGCTACAGAGACCCTATTTTAATAGCAACAGCATGAAAGAGGGTTTAACAATCTAACTTGCTGAGGCGGCCTGCTCACGTCTATGGCCCCAGGTCTTAGAAGGCAAAGCAGGAAGAGCTGTGTCTGAAGCCAGGCTCAGAGGAAACTGCCTCCCAAAACAAAAACATGCAAGCAGATCAAATTTACTGAATGGAAAATTTCAGCTTAAAAATGATAAATAAGACTCCAAGCTCAACTGAGCTTTCAGAAAGAAGCCGATGTGAGAAAATTACTAAACCGGAAATGAGACTAAGTGGGCCCTAAGAATAGAGGTTAATTACCTAATTCTAGAAATCACAGAATTAACACCAAAGCAAGAGCCACTTCTGTGACGACTACAAATAAGGTGTCCTTTCATGTGACTCAGGGCAGGTGTAATATTTTGTTGTTTGGATTCTGAAGACAGTGTCTTGCTATGTAGTTCAGGTTGGACCTAGAACTTGTGGTCTTCCTGCCTCTTGCCTCCTGCAGGCTGAAATCTTTGTATCTTCAGTTTGTGGCACCCTCTGGAAACACAGATGACAGCCACAGACTAAAGCACAGCTGCAGGTGTAGGTGAATGGCTTCTTAGCAGGCGAAGGGACAAAGTCCCCAGACTCTAGTTACAGTGTGTTCTCTCTGATAGTTCACAAGCCTCGCGGTGGTGTTTTCATTATTTATTATTTGTGTCTGCACACATGTGTGAATACCATGGGGTTGGCTAAGTGTGCCAAGGTGCATGTGTGGCGGTCAGAGGACAAGTATGTGTACTTTTCTCCTTCCACTTTTACACGGGTTCCAAGAATCCAACTCGAGCCACCAGGCTTGGACAGCAGGTGCCTTTACTCACCGAATCAATTTGTCTGCCCAAGTTTCATGTTTTCCAAAGTAGAGAGTTTAAGTAGCCCATTTATTTGATTTTCTATAAGTTTTTTTTTAATTTTATGAGCTATGAAAGAAAATGTAAAATAGCAAAAGCAAGTCCTATGTAGCTCTCGTCTGTGAACGTCGAGCCTTTGAAAAGAACGCTGAATAGCGTACAAAGCAGGGTTTCCAGCCGACTGCAGTCCTCCAGCTGAGCACGAGGTCCCTTCGCTTCACATTCTCAGCCGCACAGCCTGACATAGCCATATTTTTAAAAAGTGGTGCTGAGCCTAGCTTTGAGACAACACTGTGGTCTTCCAGCCAATCCCCACGGGCAGACCCGTGCGTTCCTCACTTCAGCAGGGCACTGCTGAGCGGCTCCATCATTAGTGTCTGCAATTGGGCTGTGTCTGCAATAGGTGAGCGAGAGCAAAAACGACAGCGCTCACGTAAGTGTGCCAGGTGAGGCCCAAGCGGCAGCCCTGGGCTACACTCTACTCTAGCTACTGCCAAGCCCAATGCCCTGCATGTTCAGGACACTCTTCTAAAAAGGAAAGAAAAAGAATGGAAAAAAAAAATATATATATGATTTAAATGATCTAATTTTAATAAAGTAGAAATAAGATGATCTAATTTTAATAAAGTAGAAATAAGATGGAAAGAAAATGACCAAGTTAAAATTTTTGAAAAAAGATGGAAAAAATTGTTGTCCCCCCCACTTTTAAAAAATGTGTTTTATTATTTTATATGTATGGGTGTTTTGGTTGTATGTGCACCAAGGGCGTGCCTGCCTGGTACCTAAAAGGCCAAAAGCAGGTGTCTGATCCCCTAGAAAGGAGTTTCAGACAGTTGTGTGGGTGCTGGGAATTGAACCCAGGCCCTGTGGAAGAGCAGTCAGTGCTCTTAACCACTGAACTATCTCTTCCCTTGCTTTTTGAGATAGGGTCTCACTCTATAGCCATGGTGGCCTTAAACTCTCTAATCTTCTCACTCCAACCTTCCAGGTGCTAAGAGTATACGCACGAGCCACCATGCATAGCTAGTTCCCACTTTTTATTAAACATCATATTTGAGAATATTTGTTTAGAAACTTGTGATGGAGGAGGGTCATCTGTCTATGTGTTACTTTCATTGGTTAATAAAGAAACTGCCTTGGCCCTCTGATAGGGCAGATCTTAGATAGGTGGAGTAGACAGAACAGAATGCTGGGAGAAAGAAAGCTGAGTCAATCAGATGCTATAGCTCTCCTCTCCAAGATGGATGCAGGTTAAGATCCTTTCTGGTAAGCTACCACCTCGTGGTGCTACACAGATTATTAGAAATGGGTTAATCAAGATGTGAGAGTTAGCCATTAAGAGGCTAGAGCTAAGGGGCCAAGCAGTGTTTAAAAGAATACAATTTGTGTGTAATTATTTCAGGTATAAAGCTAGCTGTGCAGGAGCTGGGCAGGAACGCAGCCAGCTGCTTCTATCTACAAACTTGGTTAGGAGAATTGTAATGATTATACTTTTTATTGCTTTGCTGTCTTGTTTGTATGTATTGAAAGGAAATAGGTAATATGGTACTATCTCTTTCTGGCTACAGGACACAGTATTATCCCGAGATCTGCAGAGATACAGGGGAAAACAGGTTTCCTAAAGCACTACAATAAATGAGGAGGAGCCCTACAGGATCTTGCTCAATCGTCTGTTCATGCACTGGGAAAACACTACGTCTTTCTTATGTCTCCCGTAGGGACTCCAGAGACATGAAATGGTAGGAAATGCATGCTTTCTGCAGGGCAGGGGGAAGGTGAGTCCATGCTCGTGTCTGTGTATGTCGCCAGCCGTCCTCTCCAGGGTCAGCACAGTTCTGAGCACTTACTACTTAACTCTTCTTCTTGCTGTTTTTAAAGATTTATTTGTACTACTTTAAAGCTATGTGTACATGCACGTACGTGCAAGGGCCTGTGGAGCTCAGAGCGGGTCTAAGATTCCCTGAGGACAGAGTGAGAAGCAGCTAAGAGCTGCCTGGCACTCAGGGAAGTGAACTCAGGTCCTCTGCAAGAGCAGTAGGTGGCCTTCACTGCTGAGTCATCTTTCCAGCTCCCATTTAACTTTTGTAGTAATTTATGAGGTACATGATATATGGGCAGAG